TGGCGTGGACTTTGAGATTGATAACTTTCTAGATCTTTTTTATGCCCAAACATATACACTACACACTGACTAAAATTAAAAAAGTGAAAAAGCATAAAAGGACCCCTTTAATGTGAGAAGTAAAATATAGTTAAAACTTGTTAAATTTATTAAAATTCCAGTACTCCTATTCCTTTTTTTTTACAAAAAATATTTTAGTGAGTTAATATTTATATTTTCTTAGTATTTATTCATATTTTAGAATTTACTATATTTTCTGTTTGTTTCAGTAAAATGTAGTTTTTAATAGAACTACTTTTTTTTTCAATAGTATTAGTAGGGCTGGACGATATGGCCAAAATTTATATCACGATATATTTCTTAATTTCGGTCGATACGATATAATTCCGATATCGATATGAACACTATTAAAAAATCCTCAAAAACGGCCACAACAGATGTCTGTACCTACAAATTTATGAAAAATTAATTTGCCAACTCTATGAAACCTACTCCTATAAAACTATATAATATTTTAGGAAAAACAATGGCGCAAATAAATAAATGTTCACCTTTTATTGGTATTTAGCCTTCATACAAACAAGAAATGTGAAATCACTGTCAAATAAATCTCAGACTCTCCTTATTAATATTAATATTTTTTACTTCAAACTATAGGCTAACATATTACTGCTTTTGGTGCATTTTGGATCAAATAAATGCAGGGTTGGTGAGCAGAAGAGAATTCTTTAAGAAACATTAAAAATCTTGCAGTTCAAAAACCTTTGACTGGTAGTGTAGGCTGATTATTCTTATAGATTGAAACGTGCATTAACCAGGATAATGAGTATGAAACATGCTCAGAGTTGCTTCAGAAAACTAAAAAATAGAGCAACAACAAAAGCATGTTGCTGGAAATGGGTTTATTATTGAAAATGCGAACTACTTGTCTGCCAGCAGGAGGCGCTGTGAGAGTGGCAGAACTAGCGGTTTCTCCAGTACTGGCTGTAAACAAAGCAGCTCCGCTCATGAACGCTACTTTATCAGATAAAAATGAAAATGCCATCTAAACTATTCTGAAGACAGACGGTTTCCTTCAGAGATACATTCATACAAAACACCCGCGACGCGTTTTGATTTTGAAACGTGCAGTGCTCATGTTTATTCAACGAAGTCAAACGTCACAAATAAATCAATGTATGGGAAACTGGTAATGTATATCGAAATATCGGAGATGTGTTTAAAAATCGTATCACCGTTATTGAAAAAAATTATATCGCGGTACATATTGATATTGAATTATTGTCCAGCCCTAAGTATTAGTTGTTTTTACTATTTGTTGCTGTTTAACTTTAATTTTCTTTTAATTTAATTTTTAGTCTTAGTCATTTTAATACATCAACTGTTTAGTACTTCAACTTTTCAGTTAGTTGCCAAAGCAACGTGTATGTATATATGTATGTATATGTGTGTATATATATATATATA